AAGAAGAAGAAGAAGAAGAAGAAGAAGAAGAAGAAGAAGAAGAAGAATCCCCTATCTTGAAAGGGATAGTGGTGCACTCTGTCCTTAACAGCCTATGCTTTGACCCAACAGTTTATTATAACTATCAACCAGTCTCCAACCTTCCCTTTTGGGAGAAGGTTGTTCAGAAGATGGCTGGTGCAGGTGATGAGAGGAACCTGGAGAAAATGAATTATCAAGGTTTCAAATCAGGATTTTGTACTGCTATGTGAGGTTATCCACCAGTTTGGAATTTGATATTATCAGTATGCTGATGATACCCAATTACAGCTTTCGACCCTGAGCTAGCCAAAAAAGGCTGTTAGGGTTCTGTCCTTGTAGGTTTAGTCAGAGAGGAACCATCTCCAACTCAATCCTACCAAGACTAAGTTTAGTGGTGGGATTCAAATTTTTTTACTACCGGTTCTGTGGGCGTGGCTTGGTGGGCGTGGCAGGGGAAGGATACTGCAAAATCTCCAGTCAGAGGTGGTATTTGCCGGTTCTCTGAACTACTCAAAATTTCTGCTACTGGTTCTCCAGAACTGTTCAGAACCTGCTTAATACCACCTCTGGGCTGTGGATGTTTGAACCTCAAGATCTGGAGATATTCCATCTTTGACTTTGGATGGGGGTCTTCCTTGACTCAATGCACCTGCTTGAAGAACAGGTGTGACTCTGGTCAGGAAGGCCTTTGCACCACTTCATATGGTGCACATTTTTTGGATTATGGACCCCTTCGGTCACTAATGCCTTGGTCAGCTCATGGCTTAAATGCTATGTTAAAGTGTTGGAGATTTAATAGCTGACCAGTTGCTATAAATGCTGACGCAATGAGAATAAGTCAGCAGGGTTACTGCCACTTTAAGAAGCTGTCAATATAAAGGTGGCCATGAGAGGGTGTCTCTCTCTCTCTCTCTCCTCTTGTTCTAACTTCATTGTAGTTCTCCATGCAGAGTAATGAAGACTGATTGCTTGCCTGGTATGTGCGTAACACATATATTTATAGCAGTCTTGGATATAAACCACTGTTAAAAGACAAAGCCTCTGTGTGCTGTGTTCCCCTCCCCCATCCAATTTGACTGGGGTGCTCAAATGTTATTTAAAATCACTAATATAAAAATGAATTCTAATAATATATTTTGTTCACCCTTACAAAAAATCCCTTGTTTGCCACTGTCTTAAAAAAATAAAGACAAAACAATTTAACCACGTCATGATTGACAGTTGAATCAGCAAAATGAAAATAATTATTTGTTTGAAAGAAATCTGAGTAACACCATTTGCACTGACATTTAACTCATTTCTATGGTTACTTGTTTTTTTTTTAAGTTCCATCAACTACTTTAATCTGACAATGACCATTTTAACATACAAGCTTTTCCTTATAAAATCAGAAACAGTTGTTTTTCATATCAAAATGTTTCTAACAAAGATGGAATGGAAGTTTTAAATGTCATGACTTACTGTGTAATAGTGGCCATATTTTGCTATGGGATTTGCATTTTATGAGTTGATACCTCAGTGGTAGGTATAGCCACTAGCTGCCCATGGGTTTAAATAAAATGATTCCTTTAACTATAATGTTCCTAGAGCAAATATAAATTTGTGTTGCCTTATTCACAAATGGGTTTCTTATTAATTTATGAAGAACCATATCCTCAGCCACATTTTTTGTAAAGTACAGTATATGAGTCAAATGAATTTTCCATTTGAAACAACATTATAGAATGTGGATTAAAGAAGAAGGTTATTCTAAAATTAAGGTATTGAGTTAAATCTGGTGCCAACCAAATTTAAGCACTCTGACCAACTATAGTTCAGCAGAAGTAACATTTTCATGAGAGGATAAAAATTGATTAAAATTTTCTCTTGGTTAGTGAAGAGCTAATTTACAGTATATAATATATTAATGAAGTCCTTTTTTCCTATCTTTTTAGTTAATTTTCAATTAGCTGGTACGCTAAATTTGCTAATACTGTAAGTTTGCAATAAATCTGCCTATAGCAGGGGATATATTATATGTCTTCTTATTCACTAACTATCTGTTCTACTGGGACAATTAAAGTCCAAGGTTAAAAAAATTATTTAGAGATACATTTAAAACTGATCCAACATCCTTAACAAAAGAAATGAAATATCTTTGGTGGGATTGAACCCATTATTGGAATATACTATGAGAGCTGCATTGAATGTAAATAATTATTACAGCTGTACAGAAATACATGATACCAAAGATGAAAGCCTTCTTGAAAGTATTTGGGTGAATATTAGAGGAAAAAGAAATGAAGTTGCTATTGGTCTGTACTACAGGCCACCCAACCAAGCAGATGACATAGATCAACTTTTGCAAATCAGTTAGGAAACACACCATTGTAGTAATTGGGGATTTTAACTATCCTGACATCAATTAGGAAACAAAATCTGAGGTGAATGGGAGATCAAACAAGTTCCTGATGCACCTAGCATGTGGAAGGAGCTAGAAGGTCAGCTATATTGGACTTAATTCTTACTAATAGGGATGAAATAGTTGAGGGAGTGGAAGTTGTAGGAATTTTCATGGACAGTGAACATGTTATAATAGAATTTACTATAGGTAACTGAATAAAATCAGGCTAGTGTTCAAGATTTTAAGAGAGCTAACTTCAACATACTAAGAGTATTCTGCTTATTACTCTCTGGATGGGTATAAAGCAGACAAAGCAACTCCACAAAGCATCCATACAAAGTCTTTTTTATTGGTTCATCGGGCATCCTTATCAACTCACAGTTGTGACAAGGTTCTTCTTAATGTCCAATCCTTTGCATATCTGCATTATGGTGTAGAAAAATAATAAACTCTCATCCCCATGATGATTGAAGCAGCTCCATGGTAATGGATTCAGGCAAGAGTGAGGGAGCCTCCCCCAACCCAAGAAGGGTCAATTTAGTGACCAATCAGGATTACAGATGTGACCACAAGATATGGACTACATTTCCCAGGATACCTTAACTACATTTACCATGATGCATTCCCTTAAGGGGACAGCTCTCAATTCCTAATTAACTATCCCAAATCCCATTAACTCTAAACTGTCTGGACAGCACAAAGAGATAAAATATGAAGGAAACTCTGGATGGAAATTCTAGAGGGAAAAACAGTTCAGGTTGCTTGGAGAACTCCGTAAAACAAGATAATAAAGACCCAAACAAAAACAATGCCAGAGAGAGAGAAAATAAGAGACACCAGGTGAAACCAGTACAGTTGCACAAAGAGGTCTCTGACAAACACAGAGACAAAAAGGCCTTCCAATACTTGAAGAGCTGTCATGGAGAAGAGGGGGGTTGATATATTCTCCATTGTACCTGAGGGCAAGACAGGAAGCAATGGGTGGAAACTTATCAGAAGGGGAGCCAACCTTTAAATAAGAAATTTTCTGATAATGAGAATAATTAATTGATGGAATAGCTTTTTCTCCTCAAACAGAATTGTCATCCAAATGCTATTCCAGTCAAGCAAAGAAAAAAAAGTATCTTAACTGAAGATTGCTAGCTGTAACCTGATTCGTGAGTCAATCCTGCCTGGAGTTTGCCTGTTGGAAACAACTGTCTAATCTCTTGCCTCCAGTGTGTCATTCTTGTGAATCCTGCTCATGAAACTCTGACCTAGCAGTAGCTGTCAAATTTGACTTGGCTCTCTGAACTTCAGAGTGGAACTTGACTTCTCTTCTGCAGAGTCCTGTTAAAACAAAACCACCCAGCCAAGTTTTCTTTCCTAGACACTTAGTTTATTTACATTCCTTCCCTTATCTGCTGTTATCTGTCCACCTTAGTTATATTGCTAGCAATGACCACTAACAGTGTGTTATCGTGATGTGGCTATTGATGATCTCCTTATTTTCACTCAACTGGACTGGCTTTTCCTCACCACCTGATTACCTGCAAATTAAACCTCTTTTTTCTCCTATTGCCACTAGCTCATGTTATCACTGTTGCCACGTTCTATTCCAGAGGTGTCAAACTCACATCTTCACACCAGCATCCCGTGATGTATCGTGACTTTTTCTCCCTTCACTAAACTGGGGGTGGGCGTGGCCAGTGCCTGACACATCCAGCCCTCAAGCCACGAGTCTGACAGCCCTGTTCTATTTCTTCTCCTAAGTATGTGAATCCTGAACTGTAATCCAGAGCTCAAGTTTGTCAAATGATCATTTGAGCCAACAATTCATTGAAGCTTTTCCTTTTTTCTTCGTGGCCTTCTGAAATCTAAAGCAGTTCTGGACAAGTTGATTTGAGGGAATTTATCTTGCCATCTGTTTATGCAGCTGTCCCTCAAATGCCTGCCTCTCTCATTGCTCCTTTCACACTCATTCATATATGCATCCGATTTCACCATCACCACCTCCTCCTCCTTTTTTACTTCCACTGCAGCTTACAGAGTGTTATACAATACAGGTTTTAGAAAAACCTAAGAAATATAAATAGCAGACAGCCAATCCAATCAATGGCATAGTATCATTGGAAGCGTACCACCAATAAAGGCACAGGTTTGATAAGACAAAATAGAGCAGAACAAAGATATCAGAGAATGTTTACACCATGTTTAGGCACAAGTGAAGGGGGGAAACAAATCACCTCTTAAACTGAGAAATACCTCATTCTTGCTTTCTCTTCTCTTACTAGTGGTTATATGCTTTATTTCTGTCATTGATCAGTTGCGATGTAACAGGTGAAATAGCTGAAGCCCCAGATAAACTAAAGTCATTCTCTGACCTTTGTTTTACAAAGATCACAGCCTTCTTGTCTTCTCTCCTAAGGGCAAAATGTTTTCTGCTTGTTAATAGTTGACCTTTATTTAACCTCTGCCAATATCCTGCAGCAGGTTATGCCACTGTGTCAATTTCTTAAGGAAGGTCCTATAAATACATGAAGATTAACATAAGATTATGGTTACTTGTTTAAAAGTGCCTTACACTGAGTCAAAATGATAAAAATTTTGCCTGTTTTGGGGAATTTTGCACTATATATTTTGCAGGGGGGAAAACTTTGTGAAATGTGTATAGCTGCATGTATATGCATACAAAATATTCTTCTATGATAATCTTTAGTGTACAATACATTATTTAATTAACCCATTTGTTGTCTTCTTATTATCTTTGTCTTCTCTTGCAGCAGGTTGATGAAAATGAATCCCCACCAGATCCATGGAACCCATGGTTAATTATGAGACAAAAAGATGTAAGGCCCTCAACTCTTCCACATTCTGTGCCATTGACCAAGCCAGGCTTGTTCATCTGCTTTAAGAGATATTTTCTCACCCCCAGGACAAGAGTGCCATACATGACTATCTTTACAATTTGCTGCTGAGTACATTTGTTGTTTATTCTACCAAGTTGTTCATTACTTTTCATAAAGATCCATTAGTATTATGACCTAAGGATCATGGCCAGTTCAGGGATTTCATTGCCTTCTCCTGTGTTCTCACAACATTCTAAAGAAGGAGTGTCAAACTCGCGGCATCACATTGTTGTCATGTGATATATCACAATTTTTCCCCTTCTCTAAATTGGGGATGAATGTGGTCAACGTGTGATGCATCCAGCCCATGGGCCGCGAGTTTGACACCCCTGTTCTAAAGCATAAATCAATTACACAGACAGAGTTTGTATAATATACTAGGTTAAAGTAGAAGTAAACTTTTGGGTGGTAATGCTGATGGTTTTGAATTGTACAAATGCAGCAACCCACATCCCATAGACATCCTTCAAAATGCTTTCCTAGACCCATTTCTTACTAATTCCAGATCTTAATCTCCTGATGTTTTGTTCCAATCCAAGTACAATGAACAATAAAAGATATAGAAATTTATATAATACCTACTGTTATAGTTCCCAATTATAAGCCCTATAAAATTATAAGAAGTTTGGTAGCATCTTTTTGGACTAACACATTTTATTAACAGGCATAAACTTTAGGGAGCTACACCTCATTTCCTCAGATGGTCATGAATGCTTATGCCTTTTAATAAAATATTCTGAACATATACTACCAAATTTTATCTGATTTTTGGCTACCAACAGCTTTCTGTTATAGTGCTTTAGTAATATACCACCCGATGTATGTTTTAACACTATTATACCTAAAATGCAAATATCACTAGGTAAAGGTTTCCATGTCCAGTCACATCCAACTCTAGTATGAGGTGGTCATCTCTGTTTCTTGGCCAAGGGAGCCAATGTTGTCGAAAGACATTTTCTGTGGTCATGTGGCCAGCAAGAATGCTGTTACCTTCCCACAGAGGTGGTACCTATTAATCTATTCTCATTTGCATGCTTTCAAACTCCCAAGGTTGGCTAGAATCAATAGAAATGTAGCAATCTAATATTTGTTGCCATGTAGTGATTATCTGAATTTCTATAGTCCCCAAACGGTAGTTGTTGCTTGTCCAACTCTAAAGTATGGATGTTCAACCTTTTGGTTTGCCAGGATCAGAAGAAGAAGAATTGTCTTGGGCCACATATAAAATATATAATATAGTAAATGTATATAAATATTGCTAAAAATCATATCATAATGTTAAAAGTTTATGATCTAATGGAGCCACATTACTAGCTGTCTGAGGCCACAAGCAGCCCATGGGATGCAGATTGGACATGCTTAATCTAAAGGAAAGTGGATCATATTTTGCCATGAGGCACAAAATATACAGTATATTGTATTGGATACTCTGAATAGCAACAATATCTCCTGTACTGAAATGCTTTCATTTCCCATATTAGTTAGAAAGGAATAGAAAACATTTTGTTTTTGTTGTTAGTTGCGAAGTTGTGTCTGACCCATCGTGATCCCATGGACAACTCCAGGCCTTTCTGTCCTCTACCATCCTCCGGAGTCCATTTAACCCCATGGACAGTAAAGGCAAACAGATATGACATTGGAAGATGAGCCCCTCAGAAAACATTTAGAATTTGCTAAATTTCCCCTTCACTATTGTTAATGTTGGTAGAACTTTAGGAAATTAATGGAAAACTCCAATTTTTATGCACCTTTGTCGTTTCAAGAACCCTGACCTTTGTGTCCTCCTGCAGCCATAGTTGATATTCACAATAAAGTGGATATTAGCTACCCTTTTGTCCATTTTTCTTTTTAAATTAATATTTATTTTTCACATTTCTGTACTATCGATCTTCCTCAAAGAGAAACTCTGGGCAATGTACAATTTAAAAAGTTAACAGTATATATCAAAGTTGAAATTTTTAAGAGGATGCAAGAAATTAAAATTAGGCAAAAAGGCAAAAGGATGGTTTTGGAGCACTAATGAGCTTCATGTTCCCCTGAGCACCACATGCAAGGCTGCAGAGTCATCTCTTAACTCCTTTTCAGAAAGCCAGGAAAGTGGTTGCCTATTTCACCTCTAGAAGAAGAATATTCCACATAGCCAGGGTACTTTTCCTGGACTCCACCAGCTTAATTTGCGCTATCACGATTTCCACCATCACAACAGCTTACAGGTGGATGTCCCCTAAAAAGAATCTCCTATCCCTTGAATTTAGGACCTCAGAAAGAAATTAATTTTCTAATCAAGCAAAAAAAAAAAAAGTATGAAATGTAACCAGAGAGATTTACAACTTTGCCAGGGATTCTGAGGCTAATCAACAAAATAGGGTTTTACAGTCACATTAATTTGTGTGCACAACACCTCTCTGGATTTTTTGTTGACCTCTTTTAAAATTTTCAAGGGAAATATTTTACTTTCCAGGTTTCCCTCTTGCATGAATGCCTTTTTTAAAAAAAAACTACTGAAGGTTTCTAATGGTGGAGCAAGATTATAAGAAA